AAATCCTGTCTGGGTAATCCATATCGTTAGTTCGTGTTGACTTCCAAGTCACATTTGATCCTACATGTTAAGGAAACATCAGTCATTTGGGAAACACGGGCCTCTTATTCACAGTGCCTCTCATTCACATGGGCATCTCATTCATAGTGCCTCTTATTCACAGTGCCTCTCATTCAAATGGGCATCTCATGCATAGTTCCTCTTATTCACAGTGCCTCTCATTCAAATGGGCATATCATTCATAGTGCCTCTTATTCACGGTGCCTCTCATTCAAATGGGCATATCATTCATAGTGCATCTTATTCACAGTGTCTCTCATTCAAATGGGCATATCATTCATAGTGCCTCTTATTCACGGTGCCTCTCATTCACATGTATCTCTCATTAACAGGGCCTCTTATTCACAAAACAGCTCTTTCAATGGTGATTCACGATTAAATGGAGCTCAATCAAAGGGGCCTCGCATTTACAGGGGTCCCACATTAAAGGGGCCTAACATTCACAGATACCTTACATTCAAAGGGGGTCAACTCAGAAATGTCTTAGGGCATGGGCCTCACTCTCGACTTCTGAAAGGCACAGGCCAGCATCATCATAGATCCATGAAAGGCACTGACCACATTCATCATAGATCCATGAAAGGCACTGGCAACATCATCATAGATTCATGAAAGGCACTGACCACTTTCATGATAGATCCACGAAAGGCACTGGCAACCATCATAATAGATCCATGAAAGGCACTGGCCACCATCATCATAAATCCATGAAAGGCACTGGCCACCATCATCATAAATCCATGAAAGGCACTGGCAATCATCATCATAGATCCACGAAAGGCACTGGCAACCATCATCATAGATCCACGAAAGGCACTGGCAACCATCAACATAGATCCACGAAAGGCACTGGCAACCATCATCATAGATCCACGAAAGGCACTGGCAACCATCATCATAGATCCACGAAAGGCACTGGCAACCATCATCATAGATCCATGAAAGGCACTGGCCACCATCATCATAAATCCATGAAAGGCACCGGCAACCATCATCATAGATCCATGAAAGGCACTGGCCACCATCTTCATAGATCCATGAAAAGCACGGGCCATCATCATCATAGATCCATGAAAGGCACTGACCACATTCATGATAGATCCACGAAAGGCACTTGCCACCATCATCATAGATCCATGAAAGGCACTGACCACATTCATCATAGATCCGACTTTGTATTCGGATTACAAACCGACTTCTAGCCAAGGCCCAGAAAATCAATGATGGTAAAACTATCAAATGTAGAATTGATGCACATGGGCAATAACATGGATAGGAAATAAACTCATCAGGGAGGTAATCGATTCTCTTTTAAATTCTCGTATAACAGACAGTGCAAATCTTATCAGGTTCTATGCTAGACATCATATCTAGGTTCTAGGTTAGACATCATATATAGGTTATAGGTTTGACCGTATTGGTGGTGAGTTGAGGATATTCCATATTTAATGCATCGGCGATATTTAAGACAATGTATCTCGAGACGTTGTAGCTTAGCGATTTCCATACATTGCAAATGTGTGTCTGGGACATTGTAGATAGTGTGTGTCAGGGACATAGTAGATAACGTGTGTCAGAGACATTGTAGATACTATGAGTCTGGACATTGAAGAAAATGTGTGTCAGGAACATTATAGATAATGTGTGTCTGGGCAAGTGTAGATATGTGTGTCTGGGAAATTGCAGATAGTGTCTGTTTGGGAAATTGCAGATAATGTGTGTCTAGGAAAGTGTAGATAATGTGTGTCTGGGAAATTGCTTAAATGTGTGTCTGGGAAAGTGTAGATATGTGTGTCTGGGACATTGCAGATAATGTATGTCTGGGAAATTGCAGATAATGTGTGTCTGGGAAATTGCAGATAATATGTGTCTGAGAAATTGCAGATGTGTGTCTGGGAAAGTGTAGATATGTGTGTCTCGGAAAGTGTAGATAATGTGTGTCTGAGAAAGTGTAGATATGTGTGTCTGGGAAAGTGTAGATATGTGTGTCTGGGAAAGTGTAGATAATGTGTGTCTGGGAAAGTGTAGATAATATGTGTCTGGGAAAGTGTAGATATGTGTGTCTGGGAAAGTGTAGATAATGTGTGTCTGGGAAAGTGTAGATATGTGTGTCTGGGAAATTGCAGATAATGTGTGTCTTGGAAAGTGTAGATAATTTGTGTCTTGGAAAGTGTACAGAATGCGATGGAACGAAAGGTTTTGTGGGTTTTTTCTTGCCAGAAAAAAATTATATAGTATTTAGTTTTTTAAAACAATCTACATTAACCATGTTATGTCCAGTCAAATGATGCATTAAAACTCAGGATTGATCCGAAACGACTACTGCACCCTTTCTTATTGTGTTGGGGCCAAATAGAGCATGACACCATAGCTTAGTTTCATTTATCGAGCCAAGAAAGTAGTCAATGGAAGATCACCGTTAGATGCAGCGAAACTGCGTTTACAAAGAAATGTTACCCCCCACCCCTCTCCGGTAACCAACGATCTTTCTAACTTTACGAAACACAAAAACCAGGTTAGAGCTAAAAAATTATGAAACATTGATTACTCTGATACACTTTCAATCTTTCATCGTCAAGTCTCCGGTTGATTCCATTCCATGAGACGAGAGATCCCAGAAAACAAGATCCCATTCTTCCTTCTCGTGACAAGGTTTGCTTTCTGAGCAACAATAAATTACCTTTTCTGTCTGGGCTGACTGTCTGAGCTGCCTGACACTAAGGGCTGACTTTATGAGATGTGCATCTAGCTCTTAACAATCTTATATTAATGTTATAATTGCGATGTAGAAATATATTTCTATAAATTTACTTCGTTAAACACGTTCAAATGAATGTGGTTTTGTCAACACTACTCTGATTTGTTATTAAGGGGTTATTAACCAATCAAATGTAGGGGCATAATCCATTTATGAATTTATCTTGTTCAGTTTTCTAATTGTAAGTGAGTAATAGAATTTTGGGCCACCAGATGGACCACCCTAAGATAAAGTTCACCAATGGGCCACCAGATGGACCAACTAAGATATAGCTTACAAGTGGGCCACCAGATGGACCACCTAAGATAATAATATAGCTTACAAGTAGGCAATCAGATGGACCACCCTAAGACATAACTTACCAGTGGACCACCAGATGATCCACCTAAGGTATAGCCTACCAGTGATAAACCTGGCCAAAATGTTCTCATAACGTTCCAGGAACTCCTGAAAAAGGGAAACAGTTTCATCACGTTTAACAGTCCCACTTATCTGGTTGAGACAATCTGACACTTGCCTCTTACCCCCATGTTTAACAGTCCCACTTATCTGGTTGAGACAATCTGACACTTGCCTCTTACCCCCATGTTTAACAGTCCCACTTATCTGGTTGAGACAATCTGACACTTGCCTCTTATCCCCATGTTTAACAGTCCCACTTATCTGGTTGAGACAATCTGACACTTGCCTCTTACCCCCATGTTTAAAAGTCTCACTTATCTGGTTGAGACAATCTGACACTTGCCTCTTACCCCCATGTTTAAAAGTCCCACTTATCTGGTTGAGACAATCTGACACTTGCCTCTTACCCCCATGTTTAACAGTCTCACTTATCTGGTTGAGACAATCTGACACTTGCCTCTTACCCCCATGTTTAACAGTCTCACTTATCTGGTTGAGACAATCTGACACTTGCCTCTTACCCCCATGTTTAAAAGTCTCACTTATCTGGTTGAGACAATCTGACACTTGCCTCTTACCCCCATGTTTAAAAGTCTCACTTATCTGGTTGAGACAATCTGACACTTGCCTCTTACCCCCATGTTTAAAAGTCTCACTTATCTGGTTGAGACAATCTGACACTTGCCTCTTACCCCCATGTTTAAAAGTCTCACTTATCTGGTTGAGACAATCTGACACTTGCCTCTTACCCCCATGTTTAAAAGTCTCACTTATCTGGTTGAGACAATCTGACACTTGCCTCTTACCCCCATGTTTAAAAGTCTCACTTATCTGGTTGAGACAATCTGACACTTGCCTCTTACCTACATGTTTTAATGCATCACCTCATTTGGCGAATCAAAGATGCCTCCACGGAAATGGAGGAGCGGGAGTGTTGTGGGGACCCTTATAAAAAAATTAGGACCCTTGGGGCCCCGCTATAACTAAGTCGTGTTTTCATTAACAAATGCATTTTTTTCTTTCTTAACTTACGTGAAAAAATGCGTCTAAATACTTTATATATACTCGTACAACAATCAAGGATCCAACCACACTCGTTTAACTTTAACACCACATAGTTTAACTTTAACACCACGTAGTTTAACTTTTTCACCACATAGTTTTAACTTTAACACCACATAGTTTAACTTTAACACCACATAGTTTAACTTTAACACCATATAGTTTAACTTCAACGCCACATAGTTTAACTTTAACACCACATAGTTTAACTTTAACGCCTCGTAGTTCAATTTTAGCACCACATAGTTCATCTTTAACACCATATAGTTCGCTAAGCTCAACATATTTTTTGCACCCATATTAATTAACAAAATCAACTAAATTATCAATCTTCCTACGCCTTTCACCTTTACTGTAAAACCCCGCTATAAGGTGACTGCGCTATAACGCGATCCTATTTTGTGGAACTCAATTGTTGCGCTATATTATAAAGATTTGCTTTTTACTCTGTAAGTAAAGTTTTATGGGTTTTACGTCTTGGGATATTGGGGTCTTGGAATAATTACTATTGAATACAATAAAACACCAACAACTGTACTTATTTTTGCGTCCAATAAAACATTTGATGTTATTTATCATTTGATTTAAATGCTCTTATTCAACTGGAATGTTATAATTTCGAGAGACCAATGGTCCACCGTTTCCCCCTCCCTTACGTGACCTTTTATGAACCCGATGCCATGGCAACTGTCAACAGCTCTATTGCCAACTTTCTTTCAGGTTGGCCTCACAACAAACTCCTGGAGAAAACCTTGTACCTACAGGTCATCGACTACGACAGATTCAGTCGGGACGACCCAATAGGTGAGACCTACATTCCACTAAATGAGGTCGACCTCTCGCAGTCTCCTGTGCTTTGGAAATATCTGCAGCCGTGCAAAGATTCGAGGGTGAGGAAGATTTTCAACTGTTTGTCATATTGATGTAGTGCCTGTGTCTGGCTGTCTGTCATATTGATGTAGTGCCTGTGTCTTGTTGTCTGTTTAGAATGTCTTTTCTGTAGTTACACTTTGGTTATGTTCATTAGTAATGTGTCTTTAAATCAGTGATTTTTCTTTACATCAGTGATGTGTCTTTATAGCAGTCATATGTCTTTATATCAGTCATGTGTCTTTGTATCACTCATGTGATCTTTGTATCAGTCATTTGTCTTTACGAATTAGTTTAGAACCTCTTCCACAATATGGACTCTATAAATAAACTCGGACGGTCGGGGAGAAAAAAAAAGGGGGGGGAGGCTATATTCTGTCATGTATAAACTAAAAGATTGCACCACTGTGAAAGTATTGACCTGTGTGCTGTGAATGGCAACTCATCTAAGAGATGACAAACTCTGAAATCAAACCCGGAGATGGAGTCCCGCAGTCAGTATGACATTGATACTTTGAAAATTCCCACAAATCCTGCGACGTGGAATGCACAAAGAGCACAGCAAAGCGCAAGAAACACTGCAGGACACCCAGTGCATCCTGGTCTGGTTCCAGTCGTCTTGATTAAGCCTTGCCATTGGATTTAATAGGACAGGGCTGTCTCCCTTACTTTAAACATAAAACAGCTCAAGGCAAGACTACATCAACGCATGCGAAGGTTGAAGAATATAATTTTTAAAAATATAACATTACCTTTTACACGTGTATAAACAAAATGTAATCAACTGGACATATCTACGGCTGGCGATTGTATTACCTTGTGCGACTAATACGCACTACAATCCCGCACTACAATCCCGCACTACCTTATAGCAGGTACCGTCTGGAGGCCACTTTAGTTCTTTTACTATGTTTAGTACTTAAGATCAGTGCTTTGTCAAAGTTGCATACTGCTACTATTTTACAGACCACGAATACAATTGTAATTATAAAATGAATTAACGACACACATACACATATAAAGCAATGACTACTTATACTGTCTATTACTTAATTAAATACATTTTTTCGATGGACTAAGTTGCGATTGGCGGTCTGTCCTCTATAGGCAGGTAAAGTCCACAACACACACACCCACACAGCAGCCTTGTTGGTTTAGCCCCTCTCTCTCTCTCTCTCTCTCTCTCTCTCCGGTCACTGCGCACTGCGACGTCTCGGTGGCGTAACAGGTCTCCGGTTTCCACACGCATTAGACTCTAATACTTCAATTGTGGACACACACACACAGCCCTCTTGCTGGTCACTGCGCCGTCTCTGCTACGCTAGTACGCCTCACCTACACTTGGTTCTTTTTGATTAGTCTGATCCTAACTGACCGACTCTACTAATAAAGATCAATACTCAAAAAGGGTCAAGATTCAATCTCTTAGGACCCTGGACATGATTTTTACGGCGCGCCTCATCTGCTGGGCGCTTCCGTATAGGAGATCATTAAGGCAAGCTTCCGGATTCCCACCGTCGGCCCCCGTCCCACTATTCGGACACGTGACAACCAAGTGGGCTACTGTCTCCTCTTCAAGTCCGCATAGTCGGCACAAAAGTTCCCTTCTGTTATCGAGTCGGTGGAGATAACTGCGCGTAGCACAGTGCCCAGTTCTCATCTGTGTGATAAGGCTTTGTTCTCCACGACTAAGCTTCCACCATGGGTCGCTTTTGCTCGGCCGCTGAAAATCTTGGTAAAACTGTCGTCCAGTAGTGGCCGTGTCCCACTTTCCAAGCCATTTTCTCCTGAAATGGTCTTTCAACCAGGCAGTGACTCCGAGCTGGGTCATGGGTTTGTCTGGTTGAGGTAGGGTTGCGCCTTCTTGGGCTAAGAAATCGGCCCGGTCAGGAAGCGACGCCTCTAAGCGCGAAGTGATAAGCTGGAAGACTACCTTGGGGCCATGTGCATGGATGGAGCCTACTGTCTCCAGAATGGCAGTGATCTTTGTCGAGCCCACCGATCTCTCCCCCATGAGTTCGAGAGCAGAACGAGAGTCGGTGAAGACCACAACGTCCGGGAAGGACTTTCGTTTAGCTAGCCGTTGGTTCAACCTCTTGAGAGCTACCAGTATCGCTTCAATTTCCGCATCGAGGCTCGTTGCATTCCTACCGCATGGGCCTGATAGCTCCTCGGGTGGGGCTATCTCTGCGGGATACTGGATGAGGACACCGTAGCCGCTACGCTTTTCCTCCGTGAAACATGAGCCGTCTGTAAAGACTTTAACCAAGCTATTCGGGTAGGCTTCAATCGTGCGTCGTGCAGCCTCTCATGGGTCTAATTGAGGACTGCTTTCGCTGGCTTTGGTGTCAACCATTTCCAGTATGATGTCTGGTAGGGGAAGGCTTTTGTGTGGCCCCCGCGCGGGGATCACTTTCACTTTTTCCCTGTTTCTGGGCAGAATAACGTCTTTTTCAAGACTGTGCACCATGTCCATGAAGGATGGTCGCTTCAATCTGGACTTTTTCTCCCATTCGTCTTGCAGTTTGAAACAGGGATCTTTTCTATCCATGCGGCGGTAACGCTCTACCGTCGTAAGGACTGCCTTCTCCCGCCTGACCTCGAGCGGTTCGACATTGGAAATGATCTCCACCGCCGCCGTGGGTGTGGTCCGTATTGCCCCGCATACAAACCTTAGAGCACGGTTTTGGATGCGGTCCAGTTCCTCTAGAGCCGTATGGCTTGCGAAGGCTAGGACGGGCAAACTGTAGTCCATTGTTCCTCTCACACTGCTGAGGTAGAGCGACCTCAACAGACTTGCATCTGCACCCCATCTAGTACAAGCCAGCTTTTTCACCAAGCCCAGTTTTTGTGAAGCCTTGGCGCACAGTTCGTGTACATGGTGATAAAGTCGGAGTTTTTGGTCCAACTTAATCCCAAGGTAAACTGGAGTCCTGTCCCATACCAAATCTGTCCCATTTATGGAGAGTTTAACATCGGCCTTAAGCACATTTCTTCCATTGGTGAACCTAGAGTAAACCGTCTTCTCAGTGTTCACAACCATTTTCCACCGTCTCGCATATTCCTCGATGCTATGGAGATCATTTTGCAGCCGGTTCTGCGAATGGTTGATGTTTGGCCCAGAAGTCCAGATTACTAGATCATCGGCGAACATGGCATTATCGGACACTAAGCCCTCTTGCAAGTCATAGACATAAGCCAAGAACAAGGTGCAGCTGAGGGCAGACCCCTGGGGGAGTCCGTCCTCCAGAGCAAGCCGCTTCGATAGACTATTGCCAACCCGCGTGGCAATATATACCTGTCCTTGAGAAAGTCCGTCACCCACCCGGACATGTTACCAGTGATTCCCAATTTCTGGAATTTGTACATGAGGCCTACGCGCCACACGCGGTCATATGCTTGCTTGAGGTCAAAGAAAATTGCCAACGAATGATTTTTCTTCTGAAGTTCATTGGTCATGGACTGAACAAGACGGATCACCTGGTCCATGGGCTGCCTACCCTTACGGAAGCCACCTTGCGTCGGTGGTAGGTGCTTATTACTCTCCAAAAACCAGTAGAGTCGTCCATTTACCATTCGCTCGGCCACTTTTCCCACACAGGACGTTAGCGATATTGGTCTAAAGCTACTTGGTAAATGGCCTGGTTTTCCTTCCTTTGGTACGGGAACCACTATGGCCTGCTTCCACACTTTCGGTAGAATACCTGTAGTCCAAGTTCGGTTAATGAGAGCCAGCAGAAGTTCTCTCCCCAGTTTACCCAGGTGGGTTAACATTTCATTGTGAACTTTGTCTGGGCCTGGTGCTTTCGCCGGCAAGCACTTTTTGAGCGCGCTTTGCAATTCTTCCATTGTGAAGGGAACTGTGAATATCTCAGGGTGGGGTCCAGTACGCTGGATACGAGCTCCCCTTTTCTTCAGACGGCGAATTTCCTTATGCTCTTGGGTCTCTTTTGACACTTTTGACTCATTGTTCACTGCGGCAAAGTGAGCATTGAGCACATTGGCTCTTTCTTTGTCGCTCGCCACGACACCTTTGTCTGATAGTAATGGTTGCGGGTTTTTGGCCTTACCCGCACCAGAGAGACTTCCGAGCAGATTCCACACCTTCCCACCGTCTAGAAGATTGAGTTTTTCACACGTACTAACCCATTTCGATTTTTTCGCCTTTTGAACAGCTGCCCGGACTTCAGCCGTAAGGTGATTGTAACCAGCACGAGCAGCCGGTGTTTTCTTTCTCGCGGCCTCTTTCCGAGCCTTTGCTCTTCGCTTCACGAGTTTTGCAAGCTCTTTGTTCCAAAAAGGCTTGTACGGTCGCTTCCCGGTCGTTCTCGGGATCGTCACACGGGCGACCTCTAGGAGGGCGCCATTAAACTTCTCGAAAGCAACATCTAAGTCTGAGTCGGCTACGTCGACTGCAATTAGTCCGAGCTTGGTCTCGCACTGACTTTGGAAATTATGCCAGTTGGCTCTGCGAAAGAGCCAGTGGCGTTTATCGCACTTGGTTTTGGCCTGTCCCAAGTCAACCCTAACCAGTATGGGCAAATGGTCACTCCCAACGTCTTCAAGGACACAAAGATTCTGATGTCCCGCGAGATCGGCGGACACGAGCGTCAGATCTGGCCTAGACACCGTTCCGTGGCCGTAATGAAGGAGTGTTGGCGCACTCTTCTCGTCCTGAAGCCTGATAAGATTGGTCTCGAGGCAGACCTCTTCCACGTGCTTACCAGAGCCGTTCCGCTCTGGATAACCCCACATGGGGGATTTGGCAATGAAGTCTCCTGCAATTATAGTCCGTTTAAAGATCGTCTCCCCGCGGGTGGGGATCGTGATCACATTGCTTGGAGAATTGTAAATGTTCGTCACGGCGAACGTTTTCCCACATTTAGTGACTTTTACTGATAGAGTGTCAGTATTGTCGTAGCGCCTGCACTCAATGATCTCCACCGTGAGATCATTTCGAACCGCTGTGGTAATGCCTTTGCATCGCCCACACTTGCAATGGTATAGCGAGTAACCAGTGATATGAAACGGCTTCCCGTGAAGCATTGTTTCTTGGAAGAGTCCTACATCCACGCCGTGCTCGTGGAGTAGTTTGGTTACTTCGTGTGACTTTTGCCTGATACCACACACATTCAACTGGAGCACAACCAGGGAATGTTTTTGGTGTCCCGTGCCACCTTTTCGATCTCGAACAGTCGCTTGTTGGCCTCGCACGCGCCTGTCGAGCGTCACACGTGCGAGAGGGGACGCCTTCCCCGTGGGGACATCCGCGGGGAGAGGGTGCAGTCCACGCACCACACCTGTAGCTTTACTCGGTCCCACCCAGTCTCCCAACAGTGGGTATCGAGGGCCTTTTAAGGAAGCCGCGGTCGGAGGGGAAGGATCGTGTCCAAGCCCCCCCCCCCCCNATCTTCCCCCCCGTGAAGGGGGGCTTTGCGGCGCCCCCCCCCCCCCCTAGCTCAGTGGGTCTTCCAGTCTAGGACAGTGTGATCTTTTGCTTCCGGAAGCATGTCCGTACTAGTCTGCCACGCCACGAAGAGGCAGATCACGTGCACACCACCTCGAGCAAAGTGGTGTGAGTTTCTCCCAGTCTAGCGCAAGCCATCCTGAGGGAAACCTGGCAGACCGACTCTACTAACTGACTCAACGGCACTGAGTGGTCTATACTCAACGGTAATCTATACCGACTGTACTAAGTTCTACTGTACTGAACTGTACTCAACTCAACTGTACTGACTTTAAATCAACGCTACTATCCTAGCTGTGCTAACTGTTACTAACTCAACTGTTAATTACTGGCTAGAAATGAAAATAACGAATCGACGCATAAGACATAGCTAAGAATTAAAATCACATCACATTATTAATAGTTAATCATAATCTAACAGTAACTATAATCCTAAAATTTCTTAATAAAACTGCAACTCTACAGAAACATGAATATGAAAATTAACAAAACTAACCCAGCAAATTATGAATAAACAAACTTCATCAAATAATTATGCCAAACTCTATTGAAAAACTACAGGCGAAATAGGGCGATACATTATTGGGGGGTGCCTTTTATACTGAGCATAGGGACGCGTGCCCTGAATCATAGCGTCAGCGTGGGTACTCAGTGTGGGTACTCAGTGTGTGTACTCAGTGTGGGTACTCAGTGTGGGTACTCAGTGTGTGTACTCAGTGTGGGTAATCAGTGTGGGTACTCAGTGTGTGTACTCAGTGTGGGTAATCAGTGTGGGTACTCAGTGTGGGTACGCTTGACCAGAATGAGTGCATTGTTTAAATGAAATAGCAAAACGAGGTATGTGGAAGCTTGAATTAGAGAACAGGACAAAAAGATTAGGACGTTTCACCATAGAGCCTTCTTCAGCAGACAGGAAAAATGTGCGCACTATGCCGAAACGTCCTAATCTTTTTGTCCTGTTTTCTAATTCAAGCTTCCACATACCTCGTTTTGCTATTTCATTTACTAGTCTTGAATGCAGTCCTTTAATTAGTATATGCATTATTAAAGCTATGTCACGGTCAAGGTGACCTGGTTAATTTCCATTGTTCATTGAGTCATTGTTATTGGTGTAAGGTCCAGTCTTATTGTGTCACGTCACGTGGGGTAGCGATGGAGTGCGTGTGAGTCAGCGGGTCTCACAAAGGTGAGGGCCAGCAGGTCTCAACACATACGCTGAATAGCAGGTCACTTAGTCTTGGCACGGAGAAGAACGGTGAGATTTAACAGCTTGATGTGATACCTGGCGCACAACCGACTGGCTCAGCAGATATTCAAGAAAGATATAGAGAACGAAAGCATCAATGTTGGTGAATGGGGTGGATTTACCTTCGAAGACCCATCCGCAGGGGTTGCAGAACCCACGCCACGGCTCTATACTGTTGTGTTAGACTGAATACTATAGTAAGGACAAACAAAGGACTTTTAGACTTAATACTCAAATAAGGGATTATCTCAGGACTGTTAGACTTAATACTCAAATAAGGGAAAAGTGTATGTGCACTTAAACCTAATCTGCAAGATAACCACAGGTTGATCAATATATAATCAGCGGTCAATACAAGGCGGTACCCCGGGGATAAGTCCCGCCCAAGAGTTGTTGTTGTTTTTTTTTCGTTAGAGGCCTCGCCCTTTTATAAAAAATTATCCTTTAAAAAAATACATCTTCTATCGTTGTATTTGAGAAAGGCATTCAGCCCCTCTGGCCCCTGCACATGTGGGTAAAATATGCTTGCATGAACCCGTTTTCGAAAATGACACATAGCTTAAGTTTCTTCTTTGCATATTAGCCCACAGATTCACACTCACTCCATCACTCTGCCTCTTTCAACGCGTGCAACCTCTTTCAACATAACTAACTTCTCCCAACACACCTACCATCTCTCAACACAGCCAACCTCTCTCAACACACCCACCCTCTCTCAACACACCCAACCTCTCTCAACACACCCACCCTCTCTCAACACACCCACCCTCTCTCAACACACCCACACTCTCTCAACACACCCAACCTCTCTCTACACACCTAACCTCTCTCTACACACCCAACCTCTCTCAACACATCCAACCTCTCTCAACACAATCACCCTCTTTCTACACAACCACCCTCTTTCTACACACCTATCTTCTTTTAAGTTTCTTAGAAGATAATATTTAAACTCAAATTATCATTGCATATTATTTATCTCAGTTATTGAGTCCATTCTATACACTTCCAATACCATTCATACGTATAACAAACTTGTTGTGGGTGGATTTGGGGTTAATTTGCCTTTGAGATGGCGTTAAATAATAAAGTGGCCTTTAGCGTCATTTGATCCCGGTCCTAGTCAATGGAGCCATCAACAACTAGCAAGTCTCTACTGCACGGCTCCGTGATCAATATCCAGCTATGTTGGATGCACGACTATTGCCACGGCTAATGTATGGGGTGTAAAGTGACAGGTTAGAACAGAAGCTGGCTAATCCATTTCCCAAAAAAGAGTGCATTAATAATATTTATTTATGTTTGTAATTATAAGCAAAGTTAATGAGGCGAATGCTTTTAAAGACTTGAGGAGTTTTGTTAAGTGTGGAGCACAGTAGAGACCAACCGAATTTCGGCTTTGCCTTCGGTTTCAGTGCATAAAGTTGCCATTTGATCATTTTCGGCTTAATTTCGGTTTCGATCGAAACAGAAATGTTTACCTTTGGTTTAATTTCGGTCTCGGCCGAAAGTCATCTGGCCGAAAGTAACTGAGGTTCTCAGTCATCTATCAGAAGTCAGACTGTCTGTCTCTAGGCCGACAATCCGATATTCTTTATTGCACGACGTCTTGCTGTCATCGTAAGACTCAAATTAGTCTAATGGGACTCGGGTCCGAATAGCGACGATGCGTTTCCGGTTCCATTTTGACTATAGGGCTATTTGGATGTCATTTGTGGTAGTTTATTTTAGTTAAAGTGAAGAAGTAAATTTACAAAAATATATTCCTTTCAATTATCTTTCAATTTGATACCAAATTTTGTCTTACAACCCTACAATATTTTTTAAAATATTTTTTTAATAAACCCAAACTCTCACTTCTCGGACCCGGTTCTGAATAGTCACAGCCAATATTTATATCATTATTTCTGAATTTTTTAATTTTTTTTTAAATAAAAATTTGGAACCCTAGGTTTATTCAATTCCTTCATTTGTTATATTCATTTGGATTTATCATTATCATGCTCATCGATGTTGTCATAGGCAAAGATGAATAATATTGAATAATCCTAGGGAATGGTAATATTTCCAATATTATTTTTGTTTTATTTTTTTTTTAAATATTGAAAAAATAAAGGAAACTTCGGCCTTTGTCAAACCATTCATTTCTTGAAGTCCATCAATATCATGCTCATAAACATTGTTATTGACGAAATAACACGCCTGTACATGTATCACGGGTTCCTATTATAATTATGTAGTAGGCTTACCGCACACCTGTTTACTTTTATTATATTGGCGACCAATTTATCTGTCTTTTGCGATTCTCCGTCGAGGCCCGGTAGAAGAGCCATTTTAAGAGACACGGTTAAAAAAAATTCATCACTAAAAGGAGAGTGATGGGGGTGGGGGGAGGTTGGTCTCCGAACTAAATAATTACGTCACCAGCACGGAAAGACTAGTGTGTTGTTACTAGGCTAAATATTAATACAGTGATATCTTGCCGCTATTCATGAAAACATAAAGCATTCGTATGACGATAACCGCGAAACATGGTGGTGACATTTCTATTGCCTTAATAACTTATATTTAGGTGAACTGGCTCTATTAGAGCCACAATAATTATTGTAGGTATATGTTCTAAGTTGTAATTATATTATAATTATAGGTCCGTCTAACATTCTTATATAAAGTGGTCACGGGGCTAGTGCCGGCCACTCCAGCTAACACGTATCTAGCCCCGCAGAAGCCAGGTCACTTAAACAGAAACAAACGCTCAATAGACACTGACTTCACCTCTGACAACTCCATGAGCAGTTACATCCGGAACAATGATAAATGCTTCACTGTGCTCGGTGTAACACAGTCATTCTTCCAACGAACAATAATTGCTTGGAACCAACTGGACAATGCCGCCGTGGACTCGACAACCCGCTAAAAGCCGTTAAGATAGCCTCATCTTTTCCCAAACCGTTGCACATATGCCAGATCATGGATGCAGCAACCCACCCTATCAGAATCAGAATTTTAAAAAAGGGCTATTTTAACTGAATTTTGCCCCTCCCCCTTCCAAATTTTCTCCTACCATAGTACTTTAAAAAACATTTTAAAGAAATGTAATTCAAACTCAAATCATCCGGGGACCGCGGAAGGTACAGTCTGATTGCGACTGGGCAGCATCAAGTATTCAACAAAAAATGCGATTAAAAATTCAATAAAGTACAAGTGTTACAATGTGCTCAACCTTTAACAACAAATAAAGACATTAAGGGTTCGCAAGAAATAGGCTTCATTTTCTTTTCTCAATGTGCTCAACCTTTCTTAATAACAAATAAAAACATTAAGGGTTGTCAAGAACTGGACTTCACTTTCTTCCTCCTACTCTTTTTTGCCAGAGTCCTGGCAGCGCTTCTTTTTACACAGCTGAGCAACATGTGGCTTGAGTTAGGAAACGACTGAGACCCTCAGTATAGCTTGTAGATGCTCAACAGTAAGTTTTGCCCTGAATATTGACTTGTCGAAGTTCATAGTGGAAAAGAGCATTTCACACCGATAGGTACTCCTAAAAAGTCTTGTGATCCGCTTGAACAACCTGGAAATCTCAGTGAAGGTAGAGGGCAATGCTGTCATAAAATGTACATGCTTGCCTATTTTTCCATTCACCTTCCTGAACAAGTTGGGGGTGGGGGTATCTTCCACATAGAAAGGGTCAGCAAAAAGCTGAAAAGTGTCAGTGTGCGTTTTGAAGTCTAAAATATGTGATCAAATTCTTCCTGTAGCTTTGCAATGGCATCAGTATACTAAGTTACCTAAGTACTACTGAATGGTGTGCCCAAATCCATAACTACCTTGCCTGTTGGGAAATGGCTGAGGTTTCTCTAAAAACCATAACACAAGTTTTATGCAGAATGCCCTGACATTGTCATAGGCGACACTGACAAGCTAACCCTGGTCTTGTAAATTCTTGTTGAGTACATTCAGCTCCTGTGCAATGTCAACAAGAAAAGCCAAGTCCATGAGCCATTTGGGATCACTTAGTACAGGAACAACCACCCCATTCTTCTCCATGAAGGCTTTAAATGCTAAAACGTGTTCAAACAGTAGGCAGGAGTAGGTACTGTTTATGACTTCTTGATGCGAATGAATAAGTTATTGTAGGGAGAATGAAATTTGATTTTTTTATCGTAGAAAGGGCCTTTTTGACTAACCCTATTTGAACAGTGACCAAGCTGACAGGCTCGGGATTTCCCTCAATCGTAAACACTAGCGGCATTTTTAATAGGGATTCTTTGATACCGTATCCGATTGCTACGATTTACACAATTATGGTTGTGCATTACCCACCAACTGACTTTTTGAAACTTTTCTCAAAACCGCACTTTGGCCATGTTTGTCTCATAAAATGCTATAAAATAAAAGCTTTTAGCCCGACTTTAAAATTGTTCTTACCTTTATAATCAACCTTGTCCCACACATTTCCTTAAACCTAAAACTGATTGCAGTCTCTCTCTCTCTCTCCTCTTATTATCATTCAACCAAAGATTTCTGCGTCACATTTTGTGAATACGATGGTGGGACAAAGTGCCCAACACAGAGGTTTTGCAATTGCCAAAATGTGAAGGATGTTCTCCGCTTATAGAAAGAGGATCCTTCACTGTTTAGGCTATTTAAGGAGAATGTAGGGAGGTCGTATTCTAAAGAATCTACTGTATTGGGAGTTTGCAGAAGGGGCAAGACTTATTGGACAGCCGCGGCTGCAATTTAAGGACCTTTGCAAAAGGAACATAATAGAAGTCAACGAATTGATGAGATGATCGCAGATCACCGTTCCACTTGGCAAGCAGTGGTGGTTGAGTCAAACAAGTGGTAAGTCAAGGTTCTCCTGTGAAAAGTGCAGACGACACTGCCAGTCGAAAAAACGCCACAATCAAGGTATTATGAGGGTGACTAAAATTGTGTGACGAAGGGATGGGCGGGGTAAAAATATGCCAAAATAATATGACATAATTTTCAATAGCCCCATTTATCATACTGATAGACAAGAGGGGAAGCCCTATTCCTCTTTCTGGATCTTCCAGTGCTTACACAAAGTCAACAGACAGCAGTATCTGGGTTTCAAGCCGAGTCCAGAAAAAGATTAAGAACTTTTGACTTTGCGAATTCAACCCAGCAGGGTATTGTGAGCAACTTATGAAAAGTCAAAGGCTGACGAAAGAGATCTCTATAGAAATCCCTAGACTCATTCATAAGTTAACCCCAGAAACAGCCCGCCATCACCATCGGCAGCCTGGTCATTATCAAAGATAGAATATCTGCAGTTTACTCATTGTCAAAATGAATAAGTGAGAACAGATCCTTGTGGAAGATGACTTACTTGGATTCACAATTCTCCACACCCTGAATTGAGAAACTGATTTGTTTTCTTTCCTATTAAACTTGGCAATGTTTTTCCCAGGGAAAACTTGGAGAGCTGCTCTTATCCCTGTGTTATCAGCCAAACATCGGTCGTCTGACTGTTACCGTTATGAAAGCCAAAGATCTCAAAGCCAAGGATATAACAGGATCTTCAGGTAAGAAAAATTTGATTGCAGGAGCAAAACTAAAAGATTTGTTTAATATAAACTCTACAGGAGGTAAGAACAGATGGTCATGCGTGTAACAAAAATGAATATAACTTTTCTAATGTCTGAACTGCACTAAGAATATATTTGGAGTGACATCTGTTATTCTCTGATTTAATATATGCTCCACACCTATATTACCACATACCATATACATTTGGCAGACCACTATTCCAGACCAAGATGACTGCTCACCTATGCTATGGGAAATACACTAAAGTGATATCAATCTACTTGCTGGCAGAAAATATTTCAGACAGTTTACTTACTGCAAAGTATGAACTGCGAGCTCATTGAGGCAAACCCTAACTATGCTGCGTTGAGAACCCTCTAGTTCTAGTGCCCTTGCACTAATCAACTTACTACATATATCATCAAAGAAAATGTTCAAATATCCTTATGTGTAATATCTGAAAGGATCATTTTGATAGGGAACAGGCTATACAGCTTCAATGAAAACTTAATCGCTCTTCCTTATTTTTTCAAGGATAGTAAAATATGCAAAGGAAAACGAATCTAGAAATCTGAAATCTGAACGAACAAAATACAGATAAACCCATTTAAAACATTTTTTGATAATATAGCTAATACTGAGTCAAACTATTTCATATGTTAAAAATAGCAAGCGTAGTCTGAGAGCTTTCCAGATTGAAAAATTCGTGTAAGTATTTAAGAACTATTGCTTTTAGTTAGGGGACTGACAATAATTCTCTGATACTGTACTACAGATGTGTATGAACTTAAAACCAGACACAAAACTCATTGTCTTCAAAACTTAATATTTCCATTTTCTCCAGGTTTCTGGCAACTGGGGTCATGTGGTAGGTTTGACATAACAAAAAACAACACTTTTTAAGCCCTTCGTTTGTTTGGTAATTGGGAAATATACCTATTTTTCAAATTGGTCCTTCAAAAAATAAGAATTTACAAAACAAATAAAACTAGGTGATTTAAAACATATTTTAAACAGATGTCATTTTAATCTTGTGTTTCTCAAAATTAAATAATATAAAAACTACATTTACACAAACTGGGATACCTGTTATCTTTCCTTATACTCCGAGACCTTTGCTAGGTAAATTTCTGTAGTTTTCGTCTTTCCTTCTCTCCTTTTTCTCATATTTTTCTGCTTTTTTTATTTGCTATATACACAGAACAGATTAAACTCAGCTTGGTTAAGAGGTTTAATTTTTACTTTATTTATTGTTTACTCTAACTTTGTAATAAACTTAAATTAGATTTACTACATCTTCTAACATATTATTACAAACATCAAAAACATTATGTAGGCCTACAGGACTATAAGATCAATTTAATTAAAATTTCAGCTACATCTTCAATGTGTAGAACTTGGTCTGGACTGTTGAACATTGTTTACCATGCTGAATTCTGGGTTTATAAAGACAAATTTTGCTGCATATTATTTGAGAGAAAGTATCATTGGTTTTTTTTTTTGGTTGGGTTTTTTTTTTTTCATTGCCAAGATTTAAAGTAAATGTTAAACATTTATTTAACAGTTCTTAATTTTTAAATTCTTAGACAACTCTTAAAAATTGAGTTGCAGTTTAAAATGAATATAGAGTGAAGTATGTAATGGGATTTTTCTTATTATCAATTAACCACTATTTTTTGTGTTTGTGTTTTTTTTTAGATCCTTATGTCAAGATTTGGCTCTCCTATGGTACTACAAGGGTTGAAAAGAAAAAGACCAATATCAAGATGCGAACATTAAATCCAATCTACAACGAGTCCTTCATTTTTGATATTCCATGGGAGAAAATAAGAGAGGCCAACCTGGAAGTGAGCTGCATGGACTTTGATAAGGTTGGACGCAATGAGCTCATTGGTCGCGTGGTTCTGGGATGTAGGAGTGGACCAATGGAAACGCGACATTGGAATGACATGGTTGCAAAGCCACGGCAACAGGTGGCACAATGGCATTTGTTAAAAGATTGATAGACCAGCAATGTCCAGTTTTAGCCATTAGTTGTTTGAGCATATGTTGATGAGTTATTTTGTTGTGCAAAACATTAGCAGTGTTCACATGTACACACCTTGTTGAAAATGATTGTACACACATCCACTGTTTTGTCTTTATTGCTTGGGAGCTTGAGATAAGAACTTCAAAACTTCTGATATAGAGATTAGAAGTTGGATTTCAACATAAATATAACATGATGACATGTTTCAACTTGAGACAAATATCATGAAATCTCAAATAAAAGAACATATTTTATTTACACATTTTTCTTGTGAACTGTAGTTTTTTTTTAAATAACGGTTGCTGAAAGTATGGGAATCAAATAAAAAATATTAAATGAATCAAGTGTGGATAGCCAAAGTTAGGTGCTAAAATCAATATTTAAAAAAAAATCACAATATTTTTTTTCTTTTGTCATTATTTTAAAGAAAATCTTTTTACAATCTTTAAAAACGATTTTTTATTTAGACAATTTTTTTACATATATTTTTTTATCCAAATTAAAATAATGGCCGTGGACAAATGGACCGAAATTCAATTGAATTTTATTAATGTCAATATTTGTACAGCATATTAATTGTCAGTTTATGCTACTTCAGCTTTGATTTCATCTAACACAGGGGTCTCCAAACTTTTCAGCCCGAGGGCCGCATTAACTATCAAACAGCAGTTCGGGGGCCGACTACACACTTGAGGTCCAAATAAAAAAAGGAACAAAACATGGATGTTGTTTTTAATCATTTATGTAATATTTCATTCAGTTATTATTTAATAACACATTGATACACGACACATGAACACCTGTATAAGTGGAAATGATGAAATTGTTGTTTCCTGGATGCCAAAATAGCAGTGATTAGCAGACATTTCTGGATTTAGATGTGATGTCCCTAACATCAACAGTGACCTGAGATGATCATCGGACAAATTTGTTCTATAATTGTTCTTCACTTATTTCGTTCTTGAAAATTTTTGTTCACACAGGCATGTGGTTCCAAAGTTTGAAAGATACATTGATTCAAATGTTTTGAAATTAGGAAAGCCTTCCTTGGGCGAAAACTAGTTTCAAACCCACCGGTCCTTCTTTTAACTTGTCCCTAAGGAGGTCATTTGCTTGCAATTCAATGACCTCCAGGTGCAGTTCATCTGGGGGACTGGCCACATCTGCTTCAAATGGGTTTTGAAAAAATCTCACTTCTTCTGCCTTTACATTGAAGCCAGAAAACCACTGCTGACACTGCAGCTAGAGATCTTTGATGATCTCTCATACAAATGACGTGGGGAACTCCGCTTTTGCTTCAGCTGTGAAGACCGTCCACTACTGAAGTGTGTCAAGTTGACGGCCCGTACTTGTTCCAAAAAACAAGACGAGTTTGGATCTGAATGCCTTAAGGTGGGTGTATAGATCAGAAACTAGAATTTCCTCTCCTTGTAGTTTTAGGTTCAGAAAATTTAAATGACTAATTATGTCTGTAGTAAAGATCAATAATACCCACTCTTCATCAGACAGTAATGGCAGTGGCTTGCCTTTACTTTCCTTAAATACTCTGCTCAGAACTTTCTCACAACTTAGCCATCTTATTGCTGTGTAATATGGTAAATCTTGCGATTCTGTGTCTGTATCTTTTGACATGTGTCTAAACAGGCTATGGTTGAGCCCATGTGACCTTATTAAATTAACCCTCTTTACCACAGGATTCAGTACGCTACTAATGTCCACATATTTTTCACACAAAGCTTTCTGCTGAATAATACAGTGCAGTAACATTGGTTGTAGAATTTTTTCTCATTACACATCTGCTTCACTTGTCCAACCAACCCTTTCTTTATGCTACTCATGTTCTTTCTTCCATCAACAGTCAGGCAACTGAGGTTAGTCCAGTCCAAGTTATAATCAGCAAATTTTTTTTTTCAACTCCGGTAACAGTGTCGTACATGCTATGTAGGGAAGCCAGCTCTTGTGTTATGTTCATCTCTTCATACACATCTCTAATGAACACAAGCAGTTGAGAGGTGTAACAGCTGTCCAGCGATTCATCCATTGCAATTGAAAATTGACGAAACTTGCTTTCATTTTTCGCTATTTGAGTGAAAATGTTTTCACCCATGTCTGCTACACGGCGGGCAAAGCTCCGCCACTAGATGGCATTATATCATCTCATTGACTGTGAACGGAAGTAGATAAACTAAGCAGCGATTAAGGTTTTGCCAAGTCATGATCGGTTAGAAAACATTACGCACTACTGCGCGCCTCTAATTTTATTTGGTAAAAACATAACGTCCACGTAAACGGCGTCTGATCTTGGCAGGATACACGTAAATTTCCGTAATTTTTCCTGTAGACAAAAAGGTCTCAGCGGGCCGCATGAGAGGGTCTCGTGGGCCACATGCTGCCTGCGGGCCATAGTTTGGAGACCCCTGATCTAACAGATAAAAGCAAATTTGGGATTTTGTCATTTCACATCAGGTCTCTAATATTTTCTTAAAAATTTGCTTTTCACTAAGAAAAATAAATTTCAACCCTACTTAAAAAAATTTTTAAGTTTTTGAAATATGTGTTAATTATTTCTGTTATTTCTTCTTATGTTTTTTTTTAAAAAATGATTTACAATATATTTGGAAAAAATAAAAGCATATTAGGCTGCTCTGGTCAATATATTATAAAATCTTATACATCTTTCTACATTTTTTATAGTACCTGTACATCAGAAAATGTGATGTCCCTAACTACATTAATAACTGATCTCTACATTTTGTTTATTCTCTATTAATAATGATAAGCAATTGAATTCTTTTTCTTACCTCAAATATTTTGTTAAACAAAAATGTTAGTAATGAAACAGAAATGTTTACAAAAATATTTAATTTTGATAGTTAATGAAAAATGATTAGATAATTTAAAGGAGTTCATTTTCAATCTATCTATGAGTTTACTGAAAATGCTGTTTAGAAAAATTTATGTACAATTGTATAATTTTGAAAACTTTCCTAGTATTATTACATTTTAGATTATATTATTATTTTGAGAATGGTTTCAAAAATTGGATTTTTCTCTATATTTTCTCAATATCTTTTTTTTTTAATTATTATTAAAAAAGAAATATATGACCTTCTCTTTTCTTTAAATTTTACTTCTTTTACAAAAATTATTCTTTTTTCTAAATCCCTCTAAATTTAAGCTCTAAATTTACTGACATTTTTGTCATTTTCTTCAAGCTTGAAATATTTTAGTTATAATGTACTATGTTAGTTTTTAGTTAGTTTTTTTTCCATCCTGAATCTGTATTTATTACCAAAAAAATCTAAAAATTATTGACTCTGTATGTAATAATAGTTAGGTTACTCAAATTTGTCAACATGTTTAATAATATGCATTGCTTATAGTGAAAGTATGTTACATTAGTTTAAAAAAATTTTGGGGTTGTATCACAAACAGCATAAGAGTCATTTAATCAGATTGTATATATTTGAGAAAAAAGATGCACAATATAAGACATGCTTAGCTGATTTAGTATGGTCAATTATGCTTATGTATGTGCACATATGTGTGATTTCTTTTAATTAATATGTACATGTTGTACATCTGGTTATCATTAAATAATAACATAAAAGTTTCATTTGTATGGTCAGAAAGTAGTAAAATTTGTAATCATGTTTTCAAACTAAAAAGTGCAGCAAAAAAATATAATTAATGTGTTATTGTGTTATTCAGGACTTGAATTTTATTATAGTGATTTGAAAAATAGAAAGACTGAATCAGAAAGAAACTCTAGAACTATTAAGGAAACTTTTTTTTAAATTACAAATTAATTTTGATTTAAAATAATTATACAAATATGTTTTGACATATGATTATACAGTTTGATTACTGAACCCCAAATAATAAGCAGCATTGTTGGAATCAGTAGCTAATGATGAAAATTTTTAAAACCTTTTTTACTTAAAGGCATCATTTCCAATGTATTTCTCATGTTTAATCCTAAAACTGCAATATCAGTTTAAAACAGGGATAAATTTAAATAACAAGATGAAATAGATTGTTAGGTTTTTTACATTAAATAGTTTGAGTTTTAGTGTTCAAATAAAATGATATATTTTAATCCCACTTATTAGGAATTGATAAAATCCATAATGCCTAAGTATTTAGCATAAAAAAACTCCTAGTTATTTACCATATTATTAATGTAAAAAAGATCTTGTTTAATTTAATCTCTTCATTTAAATAATAATATTGTATCCAATTTATGTAACAACTGTACATTTTGTCCCCATCATTCCTTGTCTTGTAGGATAAATATGAATAGCTTGCATGTTGGTTGCTTATTCATAGTATCACAAACTTGACAGTTTAATGTATTACTGTTTTTTTCCATTTAACAAAAATAAAAACATAACATAATCATTGCATGATATTTTTGAAGTAATACAGAATGCATGTGCAGGTTCAAATGTCAGAATCCAAGTGTATATTAAATCAAGATTTACGCTGTTGATTTTTTAACTCAAGTATGGTTATCATTTTTTAGGCTATACTGTACCCGGTATGCCTAAATATCAATATCACTATAATGGCTCTGAACCAAATACAATTTTGGAATCTTATTTAAGTTGCAGTATCTGTTTTTATAAAATGAAGTATATTAAGAGGTGTAAGAAACTTTGTGTTAACAGATAAAATCATCTGTGTCTGATTCATAATGTACCTGGCAAGCATTAAGTAAAGTAAAAGGACTACTTATTTTTTTTTAAAATAACAAAATAAAGCATAAATCAATCATTACTTATTTTAAGCAGTTATCTTGTTAGTCTTGTTATGAAAATACTGAAAAATAATACCAGTTGTACCTCTCAAAGTAAAAATCAAGGATAATGATTTATTTCGAGATTAAAATTAGCCATAGATCAGACAACATTGAGATCAAATATTTAAAAAAAATATTTGTTTTTAAAAAAACAAGAGCTGCCAGTAATTATTTATTTTTTAGTTGGAGTATTGCTGGTTCTGAGCATTTTATGCAAGTTAAATTTATGACTTTCCTAGAAAACCTTTAATAAGAAATTGTTCGGAAATCAATGATAAAAATAATTGTTAAATAATTAATCAACATAGGAGATATTAATTCTTTCTTTTTTTTAAAACACCCCAAAATTAATGTTTCTAAAGATATTTCACAGAGAAATAACCTATTATTTAGCCAGAAGCAGTTCATCATCTTCATAAATAAACTCTTTAAGCCTTTCCCATAATTTTTATTGGAAAATTTTAACTAGATGTCAAGTTT